GTCAAAAGATAAGTGGTGACATGGGTTTCTAGGTCACCCTTTTCACTGAATTTGTTTTTAAATTGGGGGAGAATAAATCCCAGTGGGAGACATTCTACATCCTCTAAAGTGTTTGATGTAGGATTTGGGGGCAAGATATCGGGGACCCCCATCATTGCCGAGTTATCTTGGAAGGTTTTTAGATCACTCTTCAGGTCAGCTAACTCAGTTGATTGGGCGTTGGTTGCCTAACACTTATGGGTTAGCTTCCTTCGTTGACACAACTGGAACCAATTGGGCTGGTTAAGGATGGACTAGCGGCTGATAGACCTAAATAGGATAGATCTTGGTCTGCGGAACAGTCGGAGTTAACTGAATCTGGACTTGTGGCAATCTCGGAAGGAACTGGACTGGTGGGTAGTAGGTTTGAACCTATGGTGCAGCCTGAACTGATTGAGCCGCAGGGTTGTAGATCAGAGCTTGTGGCACCAGTGAGGTAGGTTGGACCAGAGGCTGGTAGGCCTATGGCAATTGGATTCATTCATTCTGACATTCATAGGTTTGAAACAAAACTGGTTGGGCTCGAAGCTGGGTGGGTCCACCAATTGGTAACGATTGATTGACTTGTGGGTCATGGACTTCCCTATGCTGGCTCACTTGATTGGGTTGACCATGGGTCTAAATTAGTCAAAGTTAGAACCAACCTTCTAGTCTCGCTAAGCTCCTGATTCATTGCTTAGGACTAGACCATGATGCAGTCTGACCCTTTAGCCTCTAGGTTTAGGGAGCCAAGTATGTCTCTGGGGTATCACTAAGGTGCACCCTCGACCCATTGGACTGAGTCTAGTCGCAACCCACGTGGGACCACAGTTAGTTACCTAGATCTCTAGGTCACAATTCATCCCTCCCAGTGTTTCAAAAAGCACTAAGTGACACCTAGGCGGCCGGGGGGGTCCAGGCCGCCCAGCCCTTAGGTGGGCGCCCAGAACCTGAGCTAGCCAGTAGAAAGAAAACTTTTAGTCTAAGTCTAAGTCTAACAATATGACGATATAACACATAATCCATAATCCATATTTTCGTGAATGAGGAGAATTTAGATAGTCTATAATCCATATTTTCATACAATGCTAGAACCATACAAGCATACACATAAGAGTTAGATAGTAGAAATTAGAAACTAAAAAATAAAAAAAGAAAATATATAGTCTAAGACTCAATAGTCAACACCAAGAGTCAAGTTTCTTCATTCTTCAGCCATCATCATCATCAGGAGTAGGGTATGCCTCATCATATGTATCAGATTCGAGGCCATCATCATCAAAGTCATCTCCCTCTTTAACATAGCACTTGTCCTCCTCTATTATTTTTGAATCTACCTCTTCCTCATCTTCTTCTACCTTTCTCTTACTCTGTGCAGATGACGCCCTAAGAGTCTTGGCTGCTCTACCTGGTGCCTCTTAACCCTTTTCTTTCTTTTTATGCTTCCCTGAACTCAAATATTGTATATTCTCCTCCCTAATAACCTCAGGAACATTTTTACATAGGACAACATCCCCCTTAATATCGCAACTCAAGAGTATCGCACTGGTACCCACCACCGGTGGGTGAGATTAAGTTCAACTTCGATGGATGCTCCTTGGGAAATCCAGGCTCAACAGGCGCGGGAGGGGTATTCCGCGACCATAACGGTGTGGTCATCTTATCATTCTTCGAACACCTTGGCCACAAAGACTCACAGTCCGTTGAGGCCACGGCCTTATTGATGGGAACCAAGAAAGTTAACCCCTTTGGGGCCTATGCCTGAACATAGAGGGAGATGCCAAAAACGTAATATTATGGGCCACTAGAAGGGTCCCTCCTTGGTACCTAGCACACATTTTTTATGAAATTGAGCATACTTGCAGGGGTATAAACGTCTCATGGACGCATATTTGGAGAATGTCCAACAACTTCGCAGATCGTCTCGCCAAGGAAGCTGCTAGGAACCAGCCTTCTGTATTTGTATAAATGCGCACAATATGGAGATACAATCACTAACATGGTGGGGAGGCCACCTCCTTCTAGATTCTTGTCTTCTACCTTGTAACGGGCAGTTCTTATAAGCCCCTTTTTCTCGTCTCACTGGAATGTTAGAACTTGTATTCTAGAATAGGTCACTCCCTAGTGACCAAGTTTTAGGTTGAGAGTCCCAGTCTGTGGGTTACCTCAACCCTTGCAGTTGTGCAAACTCTTACTATTATAATATTAACCGTCAACTTTAAAAAAAAAAAACATCCCCCTTAATACCAACAAGGTGTTTCTTGAACCGGTAAATGCCCCCATTAGTACCTTTTCACAGTAATTACACATCATACGATTGTTGTCATTCGGATTCGGGTTATGACCATACTTCCAACCCGGATCACCACTTTTAGAAGAACCTGGAGAAGATATTTCCATTAAACAAGGCTCATTTTCTTCTTTTTTTGGTTCTACTAAATTCAAATATTGTTTAATCTCATCCCGAATAGCTTCAGGAACCTTTTTACAAGAAGCAACGTTCCCTTTAATACCGGTAAGGTGTTTTTTGAATCGGTTAATGGCCCAATTGGCATCTTTTTTACAAAAATTACACCTTATACAATTTTTATCGTTTGGTTTCGGGTCATAACCATACTTTCAACTCGGATCACTTCTTCTAGCAGAACCAGAAATAGACCTATCCAAATGACAAGGATTTTGTTCATGTTTGTGTTTTACTAAACTCATATATTGGTTAATCTCGTCTCTAATAGCTTCAAGATCATTTTTACAAGGGGCAACATTCTCCTTAATGCCGGCAAGATGTTTCTTAAACCGATTTATGCCCCCTTTTGTATTTTTTTTACAATAATTGCATCTTACGCAATTTTTGTCATTTGGATTCGGGTTATATCCATATTTCTTACCCAGATCACCACTTCGACTAGATCTTGAAGAAGATGTCTCAAAATAATACAAACGATCAAAAAAATAAAGTTTTGCACTCACTTTGATTGCTCAATCTTCAAACTTCCAACTCTGAGATGTTTTTTAGTGGTAAAATCTTCAAAAACACCCTCTAATAGGCCTAAAAAAACTCCAAAACTAAATCTAATATTAATAGGTGATGTTTGGATCCATTTTTCATAACTTTGAGAAACACTTCAATCCAATGAAAATCATAAAATCTAGCCATTTTTTTTTTTGAGGTTTTTCTCTCTCTCAAATGGGCTCTAGTGGGTTTAGGTTTCAAATGATTTTAAAACCCACCTTTAAAAACATTTTTTTTAAAATAAAAAAAAAACTGAAAAAATCCCTTAACAAATGGCATTTCCGCCCCTGCGCTTGTGCGCCTGCCTAGGCGGGTGCCGTACCACCTAGTCAGCCGCCTAAGGACCGCCTGCCTAATTTGGCCGCCTAGGCCTAGGTGATGCGCCCTGGCCTTCTAGACCGCCTAGGAGTTGAGCGGTTCGCTTTTTAAATCACTAATCCCGCCCATGGTGTAGGAATTGTGGGCCACCAAGTCAGTAAAATCCATAGCACCCTAAGTAGTGAATACATTAGGTGGGCAATCCTTCAAGAAGTAGAGGTCTGTCTAAACTTAAGTTGACATAGCCAAATTGGGTTAACCTCGGTGCTCAATCACCATCGCACCATCCTAACCTTAATAACCAATCAATCAGTAATCCACCTTATCAGGGCTCACATTAGGCTAGCCACCAGAAAACCTAGAGAGCTAGGCATCTTCCCTTAACCCCCAAGGGTTCGTCAAGTCCAGCCTCACCTACCAAAGCACCATTAATGGCTTCGAGCTTGATTCTACAATAGTCCTAGGGTTAAGTCGTAGTCAGCTTAAGCGGCTCCCTGGGCCACATCCAAGCCTTGGCAAACCAGGGAATGTAGTCCAGAGTCTACCCCAGGTCCCAACCCAAGGGGAGTCATTAACCTACAAGTTAGTGAACCGTTACTAGCTGGCCAGCTGGGGCACCTGCCCAGCTTCAAGCCCAACCAGTTCCGGTTAAAAACATATGAATGTTAGGATCAGTTAGTCCAGCTGCCACAGACCTACTTCTTCTTAAAGTCAGATTGTTTACTTCGTTGGATCCTTTTCCATGGTTAGCAGTGGTCATATATTTCAGGAGCTAACAAGGTGGAAGAAGGCTTGGTAATTATAAGATTCCTCATGTTAGATTTGTATATTTTGGAGCTTGTTATGATTGTTTTCTTGTGTCCATGGTAATGTTTATACCCCAATTTATTTCCCAATATTTTATGAGTCCTGGCCCCAATTTCTTCTTGTTGCATTTGTCCTTTCGGAATTCCTTGTTCACCTTGCATTCTCCCCCACTGACTTACCCAAAAAAAAAATTCCTTGTTCACCTTCTATTTTGAGATACCTTGCAGTTTAATAAAATAATATAACAATTTTTATACCTCATTTTGTAGAGATTTGATGTTCCCAGCCTGTACTGTTTGATCAGCAAATAAGAACAATGGAGTTATGTTTCCCCCTCCACAATCTGTGTAATAAGTATCCAAATTTTAGTATGAAATTTTGAACCACGAAATTTTAATTCAGAAGTCATTGTAGATGCCAGCTCTTCTTGATGCACTTGTTGGAGCTGGACTTCTCTGATAAAATAGATCTTGGTACTATGCCTTTCCGATATATATTTCTGACCCTTTTGTAAACTCACCAAGCGAATGTGATTCCCATTATGCATGTAATTTGTATCTTTCCAGCTCGGGTTTATACCTTTCATGATAGAGAGGTCCTTTCCAGCTTGGGTCCTCATGTGTTCCTGTTCCTCCTCCATATTGTTGGCTGGTAGAGGACTTTTTTGGTGTGAAATGAGAAGATAAAATTATGCTGGGGTTCTACTGTGTTTTAGAATTTTAGATTTTATGCTGTCATGCGTGAAGATTTTGATAGTTGTTTCTATTATGAAAAACTCTCTCTAATTATACTTGTATTATGTTACAGGGAGCTAAGTATCCTTTTCTGATTTTGTGCTTTATAGGCTTATGATCAACACTTGAACATGATTTTGGGGGATGTTGATGAAGTCATCACCACTTTGGAAATTGATGACGAAACATATGAAGAGATAGTTAGGGTATGCTTCAGAAAACTTGGTTACTTCAGGAGCATCTTGTTATTTTTGTTGTTCTTTCATCATTTGCACCTTTGTAAAGCTTAAGGTAGTAGTTTGATGTTTTATGGGAAATTAATTTTTTTAGATCCCTTTGGCTTGTTCTCTCAACTTGTTATTTCGATGCTATCCTTGCATCATATGGATGCAAAGGAAACCTTCTTGTTGTACTGATTGATCTAGAATTTCTGTGTTATTACCGAATATGCTGGATTGCTTGAATTTAGGATTGTATGGTCCGGGTATATAATTATGCGCACATCAATAAATGAATTTATTTATGATAATATCAGTGTCTACGTGCTTTTTAGTTTGTTTTGCTTTTTAGTTTGTTTTGTTATCTCTGGAAGCTCATTAGTCGATATCCTTTTCTTTAAGAAGGTGTTGCCAATGATTTTTTCCCACTTAATTGTGATATAAATGATAATTCTGATCTCAATGATCAATAAGTCAGATTTGAATGACTGAGTGGAGTTTGTGGGACAGAGGAAATGGTTCTTAAAAATGACCCTCATTTTTTCTTTCCCACTTCTAATTGAAATAGCTAATGGCACATGCATTGCACAATGCTTCAACATAGATATTAGATGAAAAATAATTTCTAGAAATATTTATTATAAATTATATATCAGGAAAAAGATTATATAAGTGAATGTTTAGGCTACAGGATAATCCTGTTGGCTAAAATACATATCTGGATCGATTTTTTTGGGCTGAAATTTAGCACATCTTTGATTAAAAAAGAAAAAGCTTTAAACATAGATACCTATATTGTAGACATGAAAGCTATCTAATTGTTTTGGGGAAATTTGTAAACAAAGAGAGGTCACAATTTCTTCATTGTGGTTTCTTTTTATTAAAAAAGTTAAGTAATAAATGTAATACAAGTTTTAAAAATTTATTTTATGCACGTTTCCATGTTTATAGATAGACACTTTTCCATGTTTAAATCTATTTATAAATTCCTATTATTTTCGATTCACTTACCTACACTGTTTCCAACTTTGTTGACAGAAAGCTATCTTGTTATTTTGATTAGAATTTCTGTTCTGGCAAGAATTCCTTTTTAAACTTATATTTGTTAAGTTACGATATTTGTTGTAATTTCTTTCCTTTTTATTTCAATTTCTTTCCTTTTTATTTCTTCACTCTAGTTTATTTTTCGTGAAAGTTAAATATAAGTAATAAATTGGACGTGTTTTTAATGAAAGATCTAGGTCTTATTAGATTTAGATAAAAAGCCTACCTAAAGAGTTTAGAGAGAAAAATTACAGGAAAATGGGAAAGGAAAGGAGATACGAAAGGAAAAGGAGCTATGACTGTAATTCAAAACTAACCATCACACACGCACACACACAGCACCATATTCTTTAATATTAACAAAACATACATACCCCACGCTGAGCAGCCATGTAGAGCCATACTTGCCGCCACCTCAAACCCTTTGTAGAGGGAGCCATGGGTCTCTCTCTCTCTTCCCCCACCCCTTCTCCTCTCCTCTCTCTCTCACGCACTTCCCCCCCCCCCCCCCCTCCTGCAATTGGGGCAGTGGGTTATCAGGTATTTCATTTCTCTGGCCTGCAGGGAAGTGGAACCATCAAGCCCCTCTAAGCTGGCGGCACCGCCATCTCAACCCTTTGTAGAGGGAGCCATGGGTCGTCTCTCTCTCTCTCTCTCTCTCTCTCCCACCCCCTCCCTCCCCCTCTCCGCAACCGGGGCAGTGGGGTATCAGGTATTTCACTTCTCTGGCCTGCAGGGAAGTGGGGCCATCAGGCCCCTCTAAGCTCTGGCATGCTGCCATTTTGTTGTACAGGTTTCAAGGTGTCAGCGTAGCGGTTCCATGGTGGTCCTGCTGCTGGAGAGAGATGAGTTAAAGTCTCTGAAATTTTTCTTTATTGTTTCTGTTCTTATGTAACGGTGCTATAATACCTCATTGATGGAGGTTTGGGTGGTTGGCAGGTGTGAGGATAGTTGCAAGTTCTCTCAGTGGCTGTTGTTATCATGAGATGGGAGTCCAGTCAGCATACCAAATTTAGTATTCCGGAGCTGGGTTGTTTCGGGCCGGGCTGCTAGGCCCTGTCTGACATTGATATCATGAGATGGGAAAGAAAATATTGCATATTATCTGTCATATACATATCAAATTTAGTTTAACCCATTAAACCACTGAACACCATTAGTGTTCAGGTTGCTCAGTATAAGAGTACCCTAGTTGTAGCGATCAATGGTACAGAAATTAGAGTGTCTGCCAATTAGTTTATAAAATAGCATAAAATTTATAATAGAAAAAAAGTATATGGTGTAGGCTGACCATATAGTTAAGTGGTCTAGCCACCAAAAAATATAGGGCTTTTCTTTATTTGAAAACTTTTGGATAAGCTTTTGATTCATGCACAATGTACAAAAAACAGAGAAGAAAATTGTTTCGAGCTCTTAAGACTATATTTATCATCCTTCAAATGGAAAGTTTAGAGTCAAAGTTAAGAGGGGGGGGAGGGGGCTGTTTTGGGGCATATTTTGAGCTCCCAAGCCAATATTTTGTCGTTATTTTTGTTTTTTTTATTTATTATGGCCATTGTTTAAATAAATGGTCCACCCAGCACCTACCCCTCCTGGGCGCTAGTACTGGGTGGCCACCCAGGCGGGTCTAGCGCCTAGTCCTGGGCGGGGGGGCGCCCAGGTACTGGTCATGTTTTGGTGCAGTAAAAGGGGCCCCTAAGGGCATTTTGGGTCATTTTAAACCCCAAAGTTAATTTAAAAAAATTTAAACACCCCAAATCAATTGCTTTTTGAAATGTATTGGACATTTGAACTATTGGTTTTATACTTTTCATTTGTATTTCATCTCGTCTTTTATTTGTGTATCATTATTGTGTGTCACTATGGAGTATGGATTGCAGAGTTGGAGACTAATACACCATGGACTTGTTTATGTTTTTTTCACTAAATTTTCAATGATTTGAAGTTTTGAACGTGTTTCAACATTCATGCGTGTATTTCATGGAAAATGTTATTTAAAATACATACAAATGCAAAAAATGCATAATTAACACCAATATTAGCATATATCTGCATGTTTCTAAAGATTTTTCACCTGAGGGTGCCTGAGGTTTTGGGCACCTGCTCCACGCCTGGGTGCTGCACTCCAGGCCGGCTGCCTAGGGCTGCGTAGTGTTTTCTGAAACATTGATTATGGCATGGTTCATGGGGGTGACTAAAGATCTGAAAGTTTTCAGATGAACAAAATCCCCACTTGTTTTGGGGGGTCTCAAACATTTGTTGTTGGTAGTCTTTCTGGCATCTAATGCATGCCTGTCTGTAATTTTATAGACTGGATTCCCCCAAAGCTTTTACCTGTATTTGGTATCGTACCATGTCAAAGTGCCCTAGGTATGCACAAATGTCTGAGTATGTTAGGCCACAGCTTTAAATACTGACATAACTCATAATTTGATGCTATTGATGTGGACCTATGTTCAAAGATGCATACATGTTCCATATGTGTCAGTGAAATGTGATATTCATAGCATTTTGTGCTGTCGGATGAAGATGTTTATCCTTAATTGTATTGCTAGCTGGTGCAACCTTAACATATGATTCTCTCTCTTTTGATATTAAGTAAACAGTATCGTGGTCATTATTTGCTGAGACAAGAGTTACTTCTTACTGTTTTTAAATACATGTTGATATTTCCTTTCGATTTATTTTCAGACTACAAAGCGGTTTGTGAAGTTTCTTTTTGTAAGAGGAGATGGTGTTATACTAGTGTCGCCGCCACTGAGGACAATATGATGAGCAAGGTTGTCATGATAAACTAGGTGGGTTTTAAAGTCATCTATCATCCCTTTCATGTAGCTATTTTGTGAAATGCTCTTGGTTAAAGATGATTGGATCTCTTAATGTTTACCAACGAGAAATTGTCATTATGAGTTCCTCTCTCACTCATGTGAGAGTAGAGGCATTGCACCTCGTATTTTTCTGAGAGGCAAAAGCATATTCTTATGTGATTTGGACACATTAGCTTAATGGAATGGTAAGTCGTCTCAACTTTCAGGTTCGATTCGAGTCCCTGACATGGCCAACAAATGAATGGTGAAAGGAAACCGTGGTGAGGATCATCAGTTGTATATTTCCTTCTGAATTCATTAGGAGACAATAATTCTCCATAAAGTCATTATAATTTCAGCTGAGTGCATGGAGAATTGGGAATGGCTCCAGGGATTTGAGTCCTACAAGATACCTGTAGGACACCGATCTCCACGGTTGGTGGTCTACCATGTACAGTGGGATGATCCGGAACTTTGCTTTGACAAACTATGGGCTTTTGATGGTATTATGGATCAATTTTCATCTGCATAGGCCATCAAAAGTGGAGATTTAAGGTCGCACAGATTCTGTCTAGGTCGTGAGTTTGGACGAGGTTGCCCACGATGTAGTGCGATATAATTGCAGAATAGTTGTGTTCATGGAACTGCTTCGAAAATTTTGTAGTGCTTGGTTGACGGGCATGGTTTCATATTTCTAGTATTTCTTATTTTATTGGGGTGAAGTTTTTGTGTGGCCACTGAATCACAAACTTTGATAAATCCGTCTGGGCCTTCTGTTACTATTCTCGTCACTCGATTTTACATGCGGAACGCAATAATGGAAAAGATTGAATTCGACATCTTCGTGGGCAGAAAGATCCCTGGCTTGCCCATTAGTAATGTTCCATATTGTTATGTAAGCTGCTGAACTTGCTTAAGGTCCTCAATTACCTTGGCTCTGGGGATTACGGAGTGGGTCTAAAAGCCCCTTTAAACATATTCTTTTCACCCTATGGGTTCATTGAAATCACAATCTTTAGGCAAATCAATAAAACAGTACTAAAATAAACGAGTTCTAGGTTAAGTTTAGCAAACATTTAGTTGAAATCAGTAAATTTTGGTTGAAATTAGCAAACCTTGGCCCAAAATCAGGAAAAGCTAGACTTAAGCTGTAATTTTTTAGCCTTGTTGTTGAAGAAGTTGTAGCTTTCTTGCCAAATTGGTATAGATGATCTGAAGAAGAATTAAAAATCAACAATATTGCTGTCCAAGCACAAGAAACAATTACAAGATACCTAAGATTTTTTCTACAATCTCAACTAGGGCTTCAAAAGCCTTTTCTCTCTTTTTCAATCTGAAAATCCCCGTGGGCTACACACCTCTTTTATTCGTTACTTTTAAGTACAAAAGACAATAATTCCCCTTACCAAACAGAAAATAACTAAAACGGTTATAACTTGAAAAGACTAATTCCCCTTACCAAACAGAAAATAACTAAAACAGTCCTAACTTGAGGTAAAATTCTTAATAATAATTTTATTCCTGATGAAATAAAATATTCCATAAATACTCCATAGTACTTTTCTGAACAACTCTTAAAAATCTTAAAAATGTGTAAAAAAAAACTACATTCCTTAAAAAAATTTAAAACTCTAAAAATAAACCTTAAAATAAAAAATTAAAATATGCATCTATTGAAGTTAAACAAAACTTATAAATAGTAATAATTTTGTATTGAATCACAATCCCACTTAAAATTCAAGCTTTAATGTAGTAGTTTATGAAAAGATGGAGAACAATTGTTTGTGTTGTATAAGAATATCCGAAGAAACAACCAATTATCTCTTCTTGCACCGTGAGGCAGTAAAAAATATACGCAGACGGCCTATGCAACTCTTGGGTTACATTTACCTCTACCTGGTGCAGCAATTGATGAACCAATTGAACTGCCTTATGCTCTCTAAGCATGGATAAGTTTCATGGAAGATTCTTACAGGAACATTGTTTGGCAACTATAGAAAGCAAGGTTTTAAAAATTCTTGATTTGGATCGAAATTATCCGATCCGAATAAAAAATTGGTGAGATAGATCTGATTCCCACCATATATCAGAAACCAACTGGTTCTCTATATGAAGAACTGGCGGTTCTATCAGAGAATTGGGGGACCGGCCCCAACTTTATTTTTATTATTATTTTTAAATTTTGAGTTTTTTCAACTTTTGTTTATTTGATGGGTGTGGTTTGTATAATGTTGCAACCTTAAACAATCCAATTAAAGCGCACCTCTAAATTTTATTATAAATGTAATTCTCATACAAAAAATCTTAAGATGGTTTGAGATTTTATTTGCATCTCTAATTATAAAATTTTAAACTTTAAAAATTGTTCAAATCAAGTAGATCTATAAACACATGAAAATATTAAAAATGGGTGGTCTAGATAATGTGTTGCAAGATATACTATTTTGCATACTAGAAATTTTTTTCTCTTTTCATATTCATACATTTCGATATCGAGATGATCCGTTGGAGGGTCTTCGCACATGATGGACTTTTAAGGTGCATCTTTAATTCTACATTTTAAGGTTGATATTTATGTCATTAAAGAGGGGTGGCAAACGGCCACATCAACAGATGCGCATGGGATTTAAATAGTGGAAAATTTGGGTAAAACTTATGACTACCCCGATTGGCATCTAATATGGAATTGAGTGAAACACAAAAAAAAATTGGCATGATAAAGTTTTAAGGAAAAAGTTTATATAAGGGTGAGGCCCTAAACAATCAAATTAAGGGCGCACCTTGAAGAGGTTGTTTCGATGCCGGAAATTCCTCAAATCAGTCATCTCGACCCCAAAAATGTATGGACAAAAAAAACTGTATTTCAAATTTTGGAAATAGTGTATCTTGTAATGCATTATGTGGACCGTCAATTTTCAAGATTTTTAAGCATTCATAGATCTGCTCAATCTATAATATTTTTTGAATCTTTAAATTTTATAATTAGATATGAAATAAAGTTTGAGGCCATCATAAAAATTTCCAGTACTGAAACATCTTTCGACACTATTTGAAGGTGCGCTTACTTTGATTGTTATAGAAACCACATCCATATTTTTATGGTATGTTTCAATAAAAATTAGTCATTTAAAGATTAAATAAGTGTAAAATGCAATACAAAAGATAAAATTTTTAAAAGTACAATTAAATGAATGAATAGTTTGAGTGCAATGTTCTTTTAATTCAGTGTTTATGAATATCAACTTGACTTGTAAAGCACTTGCGACGATTTTTAATTTTAAGTTTCTTGGACACTTGTACGTGCCATGTGAACGGAGTTGGATTTAGCTAAATTTTGATGGGACTTTCTTAGGAACCCAGCTCTTAGGAGGTTTAACAATGGATAGTGATGGGGATGCGAGGTTAAGTTATTTAGGGCCAGGTGGTGCATCCTCACAAAAGAGGTGGGGATTAATGCAGTATTACATGGGCTCAAGCTCACCAGAGTACCACTATAGTTGAAGGAGATTCCCCTGAACGAAAAAGTTTATATAAGGTTGCAACCTTAAAATGTGAACTACGGATGCTATCTCAAAAATCTATCGGAAAAGCTTATTTTAATGTTGAATAAGTATGTGATTGATCATCTCAACATTGAGACGTACGACTATGAAAACTAAAAAGATTTTGAGTCTAAAAAATAGTGTATCTTACAATATATTATCTACACCCTCCATTTTCAAGATTTTCATATGTTTATAGATCTACTTGATTTTAACCATTTTTGTAATTTAAAATTTTATAAATAGATATAAAAATATATTTCAAGATAATCCCAAGAACATTTTACATCAAAATTGTAAGTTATGATAAAATTTGAAGGTCCACCTTAGTTGGATTTTTTAAGGTTGCAACCTTATGGAAACCACACCCTTCCCTTAATGTAAGTGGGTGAAGTTTGTACGAGGTGTCAACCTTAAACAATTATGGTAAGGTACACCTTAAAATCTTATTAAAATATGTACTTTCAGTGCAAAACTCTTATCATGGCCTAAAGTCTATTTTCACCCCTATAATGAAATTGAAAGCTCCAAAAAAGGTGCAAATCTAACATATCTATGAGCCTCAAGTTTTTTAAAATGAACAGTCTAGATAATGTGTTACAAGATGCCTTATTTTTAAAACTTGAGATTTATTTTTTCTTTCATATCCATATGTATTGAGGTCAAGATAATCAATTCAAAAAATTCCTAGTGACGAAATAAGCTTTTTCAATGCGCTTTTTAGGTGCACCTATCCGGATAAGGTTAATACCTTATATAAACTTTTTCCATGTAATTAGGTGGTGTAGAGGAGAACAAGTGTGCCTTCAGAAGATCAAAACTATAGTGAGAGAAGTAGACTTGACGTGAGGAAAAGAGATTTTGTTAGCTAATGTTTATAGGGAGGGCAATGGATGTAGATGAGTTAGCCTAACATCTTGATTGTACAAAGGATTTTAATGGTCGAGCTGTGATTTCCTACAAGCAGGTAATATAATGTTTATTTCCAGCCTTTTACTTCTTTTTTTCCATATAAAAAGTCAATAAATAGTAACATATTAATATTACAATAAAAAAAAAGGACAAAATCCGAAGCATGCAAGCTCATGCAGTTTGTAGGTTCTAAGATCAACCCCACTAAAAAACTTCTCAACCACAACTGCAACATTAATCACATCGCAAAAAATGATTAGCACATTTTATTACACATCTTTCCTGGCCCATATTCATGGAAAAAAACTTGCAACCGCATGTGCTATCATAAACACATGTTTGAGAGGAGATCACCAACCAAGAAGCAAAAGCTTGAGAAGAGCCATCCTAATGTAGAGCCCATTTTTTGCTTGTCTAAAATATGCAGCCCTTGGATCCCCATCAACATCCACAGTTATCTGCATAACAAATTGCATGTTATCAGCATATTGCCAAGGCCAATTTCAACCTAAAGTTTCTCTCCCCTCACCTCATCTAGCCTTGGGAGAGGATGCAAGATCACAGCATGCTTCTGCAGCACACCCATCACTTTCTTGTCCACAATGTACTTTCCTCGAGCTTCTTCATAGAGATCAATCCTCTCTCCAAACCTCTCACGTTGAATACGCGTTTGGTAAACCACATCACACTTTGATGCCACTTCCATGAGATCTGCACTTTCTTCCCATTCAACCCCTTTTGAGCTGAGGTAGTCCTTTATATCATCCTGCAAAAGTGAAGCACATCTCAACCATGCAGAAAATTGTATCATTAAGGTATTGCATGTGAGAGAGAGGACATGGATACTGTTATCATGATCACTAAAATGAGAGGGAGAACAAGGACCTCTACCATCATAATCATTAAATTGTGTGTGTGTGTGTCTGTGAGAGAGAGAGAGAGAGAGAACCTTCATCTTTACGATGTCAGGCGCAACAAAGTAGATCTTTACATCATTGTATTTTGCAAGCAAATATGCCAAGGACCTGACAGTCCTACCATTAGCAAGATCCCCAACAAGACCCACTCTGATCCCATCAAGTCTTCCTATCTCCCTCTCAATCGTGTATACATCCAAAAGAGCCTGTTTTGCACCAACTGTTTAGTTAGGTCATCCTTGATTAGGTTTAGTACAAATAGCAGATGTATATTCCTCGTAGAAAGGAATATACATTAGAAAGGCGAAGTATACTCAGCCACTCTGATTCAAAGGGACAACAAACTACCATTACTTTCAATTTTTTTTTTGCTAGTACAGTCATTATTCACCACAGCACATGCACCATAACAAAATGGATTGAAAGGAAAAACTGAAAAGAGAGAGAGAGACAGAGAGAGAGAGAGAGAGAGATGCTTGCAAGCTTCATCAACAATTAAAATAGGAAGACCAATTAGGCATAACCAGTCAAACTCTTTGCCCCACAGTGTAAGCTTGACATAGCTTCTGAAAATATAATATGACATGCAATCACAACATTTTGAATAACAAAGTCCGAGTACCAATATCTCTTAGATTGTCAGTGTAGTTAAGAAGGACAGGAAGTGTTCTATTATCTCGAAAGCACAGTAAGCCTAAAAAATGAGAATCACTTAAGGAAATAGTTAATTATATCAATCACCCAGTACCAAAGCCACTGCACTGAGGACATCTGCAGAAAGAAGAAGGCCTAAAGTGGTCCATTGATTGTTTGGCTACTCTATTGGCTGTGAAGACATCCCTCAATGAGTGGAAGTATATTGGTTGAGAATTAAGTGCTAACATGTAAATAAGTGCTAACATGTAATTAATTAGGTTAATGGTGGAAACAAACTCCATATCCATCTAAAATATGAACACTTTGATATGCTCCTTGACAGATAAAAGGAGTTTGTACATCTGCAGAGAGAAGAAGGCCTAAGGTGGTACATTCATTGTTTGGCTACTCTATTGGTTGTGAAGATGTCCCTCAATGAATGGAAATATATTGGTTGAGAATCATCAGTTAAGTGCTAACATGTAATCAATTAGGTTAAAGGTGGAAACAAACTCCATATCGTTTGAAAAGTAAATGTCACTAAAAGGGAACATAGTAAAGGCCATACGCCATCACAACAATTACAAGTGGTGATTGAAAACTCAGACTCATGCATGGAACTGAGCAGGGCCCGAACACGAAAAAGCCAGCTTGACTCAGCCAAGTCTCAATAAGGCTTGATGGACTTTATGAAAGAATGATAAAGTAACCTCAGGGCAAGGTGAGACTCAGCCAGTTTCTGAGGCTCTTCTACATGACCCGACACCTTGCTGGTCCGAGTAACTCAACATCCGTCACAAGAAACAACTCAACTTAAATAAGGTACCAGTTGGAATCATCAGTCCATTAAGCTGATGTTTTTCCTTAATCCAAAACCATGTTTATATAGGATCTGTGAATGCAATTCAATTAGTTCAGAATCTCCTATTTGTACAATTCAACCCATATAAGGATGTATATACTCATTTGATCTCAAGGGGTATTCCCCATTACGAATAGACTAGCTTATGGCATGCGCAATGCACAAAGCTCGAAAATGTGAATTCTATCCTATTTTCTCATATTTTCAATTCAAGTTTTGTGCTTATATTTTATTTTTCACTATTTAGGAAGTTTAAATATTTATTTCCTATTTAAAACATCTACTTGTAAGATCTTTTTTATTAGAAATGTTTATGAACTAATCAATACTAATTTTTTTAAATGAGATATTTGAAATTCTAGGAAAGACTTGAGATTGGAGTCCTATTTTCTCTATATTTTACGAAGTTAGAATCTAGGAATTGGTTGGAGTTGGAGAGAGAGTTAAGCTTAACTAATGTGCTCAGATTGATCTAGGAATTCTAAACTTTGTTATAAGTCTTAGGAAGAGATTTTAGAAAAAATGGAGTGAAAAAGTAGTCATGGAGAGCAATTTAAAAACCATTCTCTATTTATTCTCCCATAGTAACAGAGATCTACTAAGTCCTATGAATAGCATAATTCTTTTTAAGGGACTGGTACAAAAGCTAACTTCATAAAGTAAAGCTCACTGCTATAGAATATGTGCAAAGGCGTCACATTGCTAACAGTCTACAACAGGACAAAACTAGCATATTTATTTGATAAAAAAATGTTATCTCACAGGTTGTCCAAGGTTATGTCTTCCAAGAACTACAAAGGCAACTAAGGGGTTTGAGCTATCAAATATCTCAAGATATTGATATTACAGAGAGATACAGATGTGAGTTTTCTTGGATGGGTGGGGAATCCACTTTTTGAGTTATTAGGTCAATGTAATCCATTGACGTCAGAGATGACATATGCGGGGGCTAGTATCAAAGAAGACTGCTGGGCGTCAAATGGTGGTGGGGTTTGAATGATCTCAAGGGGTTAAAGCATCAGAGCTCTGGTTGTGCCATTGGTAAACAAAAGTTCAGTAGTCTCATAATTTCCTTCTACAGTTAATACTTTACAATACTCTACTTGAGACACAAAAAATATTCCACTACAAAACCAAAATTTGAAGGTGACAGACAGATAGCTTAAGTCATCAACAACTCATCAAAATCCAAGAATTGATTGCCAGAAAATTCAGATTCAAATGGTGCAACTCTAGATCAGATGGACCACTGGCTTTGAATAAATAGGGAGCCCCAGTGTGTTGAGAAAGGAAAGTTCTTCCCAGATTCCTAATATCAACAGTGTTTGACATTTATTACATTTTCACCAATAAAACTGATAGGAACTATTTATATATCACTTAAAAAAAAGGACACCAACTTGCATTGCTAGCCTCATTTATCTAATTGCCACGTACTGTAAGATGTAAGCAAAATCTAAAAAACCAGATTCATCTCATTAACTAACTTGCATTGCTAGCCTCATTTATCTAATTGCTACATACTGTGAGATGTAAGCAAGCTCTAAAAAACCAGATTCATCTCATTAACCACATTTTCATCAACAAAGTTATAGAACTAATTCAGAAATCTCAGAAGATTTGAACAACTTGCACTGCTAGCATCATATGCTATGTCCTGAACATAGTGACCATAATCAAAATGATTCTTAAAATGGAAAAAAAAGAAAAATTCAAAGATGATATTCAATCTTTTTGACACCTAGAAGATTTGCTACAAAATAATTATAACTAAATTGATATAAATTCGTATTAAACTCTTTAGGTACACAAAATCCTCTATAAAGCACCCAGGAATTGACGTAAATAAGGACACACCTGAGTTGGATGCTGCCCTGGGCCATCCCCAGCATTAATTACAGGAATGCTAGCAGTAGATGCCGCTCGTCTAGCAGCCCCGCTTTCAAAGTGGCGCATGACAATAATATCCGAATAACCTTCAACTGTTCTAATGCTATCTGCATTTTCAGTCTTATTAGGGAGCTAAATATAGTTAATCAGCCATAATGGAAGGGAAAGTATAGTACACAATAATGAATAATCCAATGGACTATGAAAAATCCTAGTCCTTGGGATCATCAGCATAAAAGGAGAAGGAGAGAGAGTACTGTCCAATCATTTCGTTGGACTGTGCTGACCACAATCGACTATGGTTTCTAGGAGTGCATTGGATTATTAGAAATCTCTTCCATAATGAAATATGAACTAGGATCCATAAAAAATTCATCACCATGACATACCTTCTAATGTTTCTCCTTTTGCAGCTGATGAAAACTCCCGTGCATTTTCAGTTGTTAAGACTTCTCCACCCAAACGTTTCATGGCAGACTCAAACGAAAGTCTAGTTCGAGTTGAGGGCTCATAAAAGAGTGTAGCCATCAAATAGCCCCTCAAAATATTCGCTCCTGATGAGGACTTCTCAATTTTCTCCATCTCTCTAGCCACTTCGAATATTGCACTTAAAATTTCCCTATCAAACTGTTGAGCCTCTATGACATCATCAAGTTGAAATTTTGTTCCAACTGAAAATGTTGAAGAATTGCCAAGGCTAATAGCATGGGAATCCTTTTCATTCTTCACTGATTTGCATAAAAAATGTTCCTTCTGGTAAAGCTTGGCTGGGGACAAGAAATTATTTTGTTTGGGATTACGAGGTAGATAAATAGATTGAGTTACTGGTAGGCTAATTGAAGGTGACATAGAAACTGATCTTGATGGAGAACATGGGACCTGTTGACGACAATCCCTTGATAACTCAGCTGAAAATCTTGCAGTTAGTCTTGAGACGATTAAATCCCTTTGCAAATCATGAGTAGAAAGAGAAGACAAACTCATTGTGCAGATAATGTGATAAACACCAATTTGTTATAGTTTTCTTCGAATTCCTGTTCAGGAATTTGATGTCGAACAGCTAAAAAAAAGCTGTGAAGGAAAGAAATGTCCTCTCACTTGGATCAAAACACAATTGCTGATCCTACTTCTTCTTCAGTGGGACTGTGATGGCAACTGCATCAGTTGGAATTATTTGGCATTAAATTAGCAGTAGGTCGAAGGTATTCATGATGTCAGACATAAAGCAAAACAACATATTAAATCAAATTTGCCATACTTCTTGAAGAATAAGTGATGCAGTTTCTTTCCAGAGCCAAATGGCCTGATGTGAAAAGGATGCAGAGGCAAGGAGTAAAAATGGCATATATATGGTTACAGAAGAAAGGACATGACAATCACAATCAAGCAACAAATTCCTGGAAAGGAAAAAGATGCATTGCTAAAACTTAGACATATTGCATATGTCAATATCGATTGTATAAGTGAAATGAGCAGAACAAGAAACTTTACAATGTTATTGCCACCAATTTCTAATGTACGGTTTCTCGAAATCTAGTTAGTAATGCTTCTCATAAATTTTCTCTCGATGAAAACACGAGCAGAAACCTCAAACTTCCCTCCCTGGAAGTTAAAAACTGACCAAGGCCTTTCCTAAATTTTCCAACCTATCCATTGACTGACTACTCTCAAAATTGAGAAACTAATTTCTTCTCTAGTCTCAAGTCCCTATAACAAAAATAAAAATAATTAAAAATTTGTAGTAGTAATAATACAATTTCAATCTAATAATAATAATAATAATGAAATCTACACAAGAAATCAATGTGCAAATCATTCTATCCATGCATGAACGTTCATAAATTAGTCTCTTCAAGAGCTCAAGAAGATCATTTAACAACGGTACAATCAGGCATCATAATATGTGCTTTCTGACTAAAATTCAAAAAGAAAAGAGACCTCCAAGAGAAAGGAATTGAAGGGCCCTTCAGTTTATAGGTACAGCCAATATTCTTTTTCTTGAATGTGTTAGCTGTCAGTATAGCTAATATTGGTATTTGATGATTTGGAATAATGTGTCTTGGATACAAAAGGCTTCATACATAAAGGATGTGCAAAAATCGATCTCATCCATTCCAAGAATGTATTAACTGATGTGATGCATCTGGATGCAGTAACATGAAATGGTCGAATCACTATCAACCATTCATTACTTGTACTGTTTGTGTACAAAGACTTCATGCCCCGAATACACTCCTTGTTAAATAAATGGCAACGAGTGAAAGGTCAAATGAAGGCCTTAAAAACCCGTACTCTCCTTCATTTTCAGATTCCAGACATGACTATCGCTACATCAATAATGCAATCAATATTTGAAACCAACTACTTGCAACAGTCCAACTTTTTCATGGAGGACGCAACTAGCAGGGACATGTCAATGGATCAACTCATGAACCAGCCAGGTCGAATCATAGTTTCATCTAATGCTAATATAAACTCATTTATCCAAAAAAAGAAGATTAAAGAAAACTCATGCATATCCAATACAATGTATTGAGTAAATATCTCAAGGGGCATATTGATTCGTTATTTGTATCAATTTATTAGCACATTTTCTTGAAGATAATAACAAGTATTCATTTGAATGGGCCTATTGCTTACATCATTGTATCAATTTCACAGTATTCACTATAACAACATACCAGAAACAATAACAGCAACAAAAACAATAATAATTTTAACAACAAAAAGAAAAACAACGACAGGAATAGCACATTATCTCAAAGAAAACCACCATGATAGTTATGCTTCAATAGATTCATGTGAACGTAGCAATTGGACAGAAGCAATCATGCACTGTTTTTACATGAAGTAAAAAAGAAACCTTGGACCCTAATGGGTCGTTTGGGTCCCTGGATGCGCAAATCCTGGGTTTTTCTCAATACTTGGTTTTGCAGATTCTAGTATATATAAAACCTGGTTTAGCAAACAATGTTGTTTGGCTTGCTGCTGGAAGAACCCGATATATAAAAAATACCCTGTTTGGCACCATGAAGATGAAAACTGAGTTTTGGTTGTTTGCTGATAATGCAGTTTAGCTGTTCATTCTATAAGTTGATGATTCCCTAGTAATACATGGCCAATATAAAATATCTTTAGGGAATACGTTAGCAATAATTTAACAAATATATGTCAGTTCCGATCGTATTTTTCCATATATTTATAGGTCAAATTAGGTCAAATTATGATTCTTTTTTGGGAATAAGTTATCAATAATATAACAAATATATTTGACAGTTCCGATCATATTTTTCATTATGTTTATAGGTCAAATTATGATTCTCTCTCTCTCTCTC